ATCATTTCTCCTGACTATCCAAGTAGGCTTTTAAATGTTTCAAATACATATTCATCATGGTTTTCCCGTTGCCCATTAATAAGCACTCCAATTACATGTTTATTACAGACGTTCTAGCTACTATCTGTAAACGGAGACTATTTCTACACTTGAACCAAGCTAATAAGGAAAAAGTGTAATACAAGAGAAAAAGATCAACAAGGTTAATTTACCTAAGGGAAATTGAGTGTACTTGTGGGATTCCATATGACTCTGATGTTATGTAAACTTCTGTGAACGTAATCATTATAGTTCAATATGAGAATTACTCAATCAAAATTTTATACATAAGTTTTCAGTTTTTTTCGATTTTTAGACTAGTTATTTTAGATAACTTCAGACAGCCATAATCAGTACTGAGAACTATTGACTTTTGGTAAACACTATTACAACTGCTCTGACTGATTTGTTAAAGAACATCATATCTGAATTTCACTTCCAAGGTTTAGATCGATGCATTTTATGAGTCTTTTAAACATCAACCTTTAAAACAGAATATTCTCATGTGGGACACTGTACTGTTGAGGTCATTCAATAGTGAAAAATATACATGGTAATATATGGGAAATGTGGCAAACCTGTTCATCAATTCTGCCTGTTGGTGATAATTAAAGAGAAGCTCCAGATCCAACAAATGAGTTCTTTATCAAACTCCAAATCCAAACGAAGGAATTATCTGGATAACGGTACTACCATCATTATCAACGAGACTATAATTTCTAGACGAAGTGATCAGGTATAAGAAAACAGGTCTTGGATTTTGGGGCGAAATCCACTCATTATAATTTATATCAGTACATGGTGAAAACGCTAAATTTCATTCCTAACCATAACCATCAACTATAAATCAAAATTCTAACTCCTCACACCGGTTTATAACCTTCATTTGGTCCTAGTAATTAGTTGAACACTCTCAAGATCACTCTCGCATTGCTCAAGGGTTATCCATAAAGTATAATCTCACAGTACACAATACGTGTAAAATATGTACGAACCAGAATTCGTGAATTGTCTGCAGCATCAAAAACGTTGGTATAAATATCTGAAAGAAGAATGATATCTGAAACATTCATGCAAATATTGATTAGAAAAAATAGAATAATTAAAGTAACAGCCCGTACATTTGTCTGACTTCACAATGACTGTCAACAGTCAAAGCACAGAAGAAAAATGAAAGAAGTTTAAACAAAAATCGGAATTAACTATTTGAAGACACCTAGTTGTCATTAAACTGATGCAACAGATTCACGTAAACAATTAGTAAACACGACGATTATTGTGTTATCCACATCACATGCTAAATATGATTGAACTTGAAATTAGTTACTGAAACTTATTAAGTAGTATAATGAAAAAGCTAAATAGTCTGATAGCGATGAAGTAGTATTCGATTACAAATAGATTTAGCAATTGGTAAACATACTACAATGACTACCTTTGATATGGTGGAGAAGATTTGTAGCTCAGGTGGATCATTTTGATGGAGATTTGTTCTCTGAGCTGGATTGTTTTGTTTTGAAACGCATATGGAGAAATTCGAACATTTCACTTCTATCTGAAGTTTGTGCTGATGATGTCGTTCAGAAGAACGATGAAAGCTCCACAACCAAACCATCCGGCTCAGAGAACAAAACTCCATCACAATGACTACCTAGTCTTCCTGATGTTCAGGAAGATAACCATCTAAAACCTTATGTACATTTGAGTTCATGAAACTGCAACTTGACTAAAAAGACAATTTATAGGTGCCTTCCCCCTTCAGGTGCAGCGTAAGCGCACAACAAATACAACTAGGAATGTCAAACCGTCAAATGGAACACATTAAACGGATATTCATATGAGATTTTTAATTGACTGAGACGACCAGCAAGATGACTTGCACTTATATGTCGTTTTTTTGCAAAATATTGTCTTGAAGTCAGCAACGTGTTAATGACAGCTAAATAAAGAATTACATATGTTATTAAGCATATTTCAAACAATCTTCTTCACTGACGTCTCAGTAGTATACATATTCTGATCGCTTATCGCGTGCTAAACTCAGTATGCATTGTGAATAAGATTATCGGTATAGGGGTTGTGGAGATTATTAGGTTTTTGATTGAGATCATGAACCGATTGATGTTAAACCACCGTTGGAAACGTGGAAGCACTGGACGGCCATTTCGTCCTATTTTGGTATTCCGCAGCAGTGGTTTTAGGAAAACGACCGTCTGAAAATAGCACACATCCTTAACGTAGTTATTTTTAGTTACTACATTGCCGAACAAAAATACGTTTCAAGTTTACCAAATTCAGTAAGTCAGAACGGCTGCACTAACACATCTCAGTCCTATCCATTTCTAAAAATATACAAGGTTACTATTCACCATAAGTATGTGCATTAATTTGGCAGATAAGATAATGAGTTTCCGCTTATAACGATCAAAACTTTCTGTTTGGTAATAAAGTCTAATGTTTATTATCATTAATAATAACATTATTGCTACTTTTTATCCTACTTGAAGTGAAAGAAATTCATAGATTGTAACAAATATAATATCAGTCTTCGTAGTACGATAAATTTCATGCAATATTTGTTAACACATACATGAACAACATCTAGAAAATTTTCTTCATATTTCACCAAACATATCTTGAGAATTGGAAGAACGTATAAGTTAAATTTCTAGACCTTACCAAACATTATTTGTGGAAGAATTGAATAGGCGACAACTCACATGTAGCTCCTTGTATTATTCGTTTTTATAAAACCCATTATATTTTGTGGTAAAAATATATGAATGAAACCAGCTAGTAAACATGGTGTACATATCTTTTTCTTTGAAATGGATTGTTTTGATTTTTCAAATTATGATCATAATGTCATCAATCATCAACAAAAAATTAAAAATCATAATAATTTGATCAAATGTAGTAAACCTGCTCATTCAGTATAGTTAAGGTTCTAAAAGCAATTGAAAAGTGTACAATCCTTCACAAATCATCTGCAGCATAATACGTCCAATGTGAAAGGGATGTTTATATACATTGATCAGATTTATATATAGTAAGGCTTAATCAACTTATTTGTATGATCTATTTTTTTCCAGATCATATAAATAAAGTCAAGGGAAACCTGTTATATTGTCACTACCTATTTACTGTAATTTAGACATCTGATTTAATATGATGTGATTAAAAAGGTAAAACTACATTGTTTTAGTCATTATGAGTTTTGTTCAATGGTACTTCCGTTTTAATTCAATTTGATAATTAATTAGTATAGTTATTTATTTTGTTTTACCAGTCTCATAATTACGTCGGCATAACATTAATTTATTTGAATGAGATGTTTGTTCAAGATATGATATTCCTGTAATAAAATAACATGAACTAGCTTCAGTAAGATGCTCAGCATGTAATTTGTTATGACTCTGTACATTTCTCAAATATTTTGCCCTATTGTAATTATTAATCAAAATACATATAAAACCAATATAGAAATGAGTGTAATTTCGACTAGGATCGTCGTCGTGTTTTGGGTTTAATAAATCTTCACTTGTATTAGTCTTGGTGTTCTTACTTCGTGTCGTAGGAATTATTTATCTAAACAAATGGAAATTAGAAACCAAATTAATAATAATATCCACAAAACCCTTTTTCAAATATATATATATGTCACTAATATATGGATAGATCTACTGCAATCTTTTCTGTAGATTAACATAGTTGTTATAATAATAGATCAGTTAAAATAGATCATTCGTAAACAAGCATTCTGTTCGATTGAAAATCTTTTTTTCAAATAATGAGTGAATAAGACACTGTAATATGTTTCACATTCCTGGGTTACTCAATATGTTTGTACATTACACATTATTCACTGACAGTGAGGATGATTGGAAAAATTGTACAAATATCATAGTTCCCAAAAAATGTATTATTACTATGATTTTAGGGAGATTTGATGAATATGCAAAACTGGCCGTGCAGTAAATGTTAACCCAAAAATCCGTTTGCCTTATTTAGTTCTGTTATTCACCAACGCGATTTAAGTCGATAATTGTGTACTAGGATAGCCAGGATGTATATTTCGACAGCAATCACTCAATAACCATTATTCTTCCGATCTAACTGGGCCATTAAAAGACTTTTCGCACAAAATAAGTCGATATATCTGGCATTAATTTGAATTCGGAACAAAATTTTCACTTTTATGTTCCATGAATATCGACAATCTCTAAGATATTTTTCAAAATAAGATCATTGTAAATGTCACTTTTCATCCAAGTATAAATTAATAGATGCTTCTTTAATGGCATAATGTTGAATCACTTATCCTACTGAACACTAAGTAGGCGATGATAAGATTCGAAATAGCAAATCCGCTTACGATATTTACATTGTATATCCTTTGTTATTGTTTTTGTTCACTGAAGGGAGAGGAGAATGTTTGATTGATGATTCGATTAAGAGATAGAAATGTAAGTTTTAGTTTATGTCTATAGTTTTGGAGTTCTAGCTACAAGCTCAGTAACCTACAGCTAGATTTCTATGAGGTATTACTTAATTTTTCTAAAAATACTTTAAAGACTTTATTTGAAAACCCATAACAGTGTAAAATAGCTTTTGAACACTTATCTGAATGTCCAGTTTATACTACTACTAAGTGAATTAAAACTAGTGAGGATTTTGATGTCTATATGTAGAGTTTTAGTGATTAACACTAATTCATTTAAACGTATTTTGATCAAACTTACCTACATTTAAAATATCAATGATGCACTTCATTGATTAACATAAAGCTGATATATTACAGGTACATCCGAACGTGACCATTTAATTAAACTCTGACAAGTATTTGTTTGTCATATATTCACATATATTAATTAACTAGTCTATTTTTGATGAGTAATCAAGGTGTTTGTTTCAAGTACGAGGTGATTCTATATTGTGTATATTGCACATTGGCTGCCAATATTTTTAAAATTTCATAATCCATAATGCACCCCTATAACACTACTTTCATACACTTATTAATTCCCAACACAACATTCAATATGCTTGCTAAGAATCATCTCACTTGAAGTGCATGATACAAAGTTACGAATTTGTTTTATAAAATGTGAAAACCATATATTAAATACTTCATTTGCAAATCTTCCATCAAGTGTCTCAAACTTTATCATTCTTTCATCGCTATTAATCTCTGTTTACATCTCCGTCTTCTTCAATTTCATCATCTCAAACTTCTGTTGCCAGGCCTTCCATGTTAGATTGGTGTTACATACTACTTATGTCCGACGACATAAGTAGCATACACCACACGGTAATAAAATGTGTGCTTGTTTACAATGAAAAAAACACTAAATAAAGTTGATATGTGTTATATCCTAATAACAAATAGACGAATGGTCGAGGCTAAGAATTATTTATGAATATATTCTTATTCTAATAACTATTAAGTAATTAGATTATATCTATTTGTGTTTCTCTTATAGTAAGCTTTCATTTCATCTATTGACTACTATCATACGATTTATCATTCTCAAATTATTTCCAATCTATTAGTTACACTATCTCACAATCACAGACACTTTCAGTCTGATCTTGTATAATGATTATTTTTTTTATTCTATGGTGTGATGAGGTCTGATTTGCATGCACATATACTACGTATGTCTGAAATATATGAAGGTGGCCTGCTTGAATATCTGGGCTACCTGTTCCTCCGATCTAGATATTTCATCAAGTTATCTGTTTTATTGTTTGTTTCAGCACATCATTATGTCTATTGTGCACACAATCTATTCAGGCGCGTTTATGAAAAGTTTACAACCTTTCGCTATACGGGATACAAAAAGGTACAATCAGCGACATCATGGTGGCCGGCAATATGCATTGAAACGAATGAACATTAATCAAATGTGGATTACCGAACTCCTAACATCTAACTGGTCATCATTCAAAATTTACCCTCACAATCGATCAAGGTATAAGAAAAGGAAACTTGTTGAAATACTTTATGCTGAGAATTCTATGTTGTACCATAAATATAATGTTGAATAAAGCTTCTAATAATAAAAAAAAATACAATAGAAGTTAAAATTGTGTTCTGCACTCAACAGGCAATGCAAAGTAATAAGAATCAATAAGGACTCAGAATTGACTCTAGGTTGTTCATGCTAGTTAACAAATCATTGATTTGGCATAGGGCCAAAACCGTGTAATTCCGTATTGTAATTGACGATCATATCACATGATAAATAACAAATTATATAAGTCATAATCATATCAATTCAAATATCCGGTCAACAGTATATTTACTTATTTTAATTAATTAGTCTATCATCTGTAATAATATTCTTATTCAATAATTTGTTTTTGAATAAGATGGTCTACTAAATAACCCAGACACAAGGCTATTAGAAATTCTTTATTGTCAAGATAATGAATTTCTTTTAAAAATAAAAGAGTTATAGTATATAAATTTATTATATTAATTCTATTCTTAATCATATTACATAGAAAGAAAATAAAAGAAAAAAGAAGAAGAAAAGAAAAGAAAAGAAAAATAATTATTTGTTTCCAATCAAATGATCTTAATATTAAAGTTGATCTTGTCTGAGATTATTCTTCACAATTAAATTATAAATATTGATCCATTCAATTCATTAATTAATATAAATAAAAAAGGTTTACAACAAAGAAATTATTATTATCAAATTGAAAAAATAGAATGTCATTTAAGAAATTAACAAAATTACAAAAATATCTTATATTTCTTTATCTATTCTGTACAGTATGTGGATTGATAGCATCAACAATATTATTTTTACATTATATCAGAATCAATTCTAATTGTAAGTTGATTTATAAAATGGAACCATAATAATAATAATAATAATAAATCAATAAATTATGTCATTATTATGACATTTATACAATGATATTTTACATGATATAACATGTTCTTTGTTTAATTATATACCTAAATTCAAATTATATATAAGAACTTCACTTGATATTATTTTACTTGAATCTTCCCATTGATGTTTTTGGACTGAAATTGATCAGTCTCTTATTGGCATATGTGCATACTGTGCGTATGCCTTGATATTGCCTTAATTTACAAGCATTATAAGCAAAGATGGATGGTGGCTAGCAGTGGAATATAGGACGCGCGTTTCGTCCTGTTTGGGACTCGTCAGCTGGATGTACCTGCATCTGAGTTAATGTTCACTCTGGGACTCGAACTCAGTACCGTTCGCTTCAAACGTCATCGCGTTATCCACTTAGCTACTGAGTCCTGATAGCCACTTGCTTGTGCAATAGGTTGAAGTTTAATTCACTTGATATTGTTTTACTTGAATCTTCCCATTGATGTTTTTGAACTGAAATTGATCAGTCTCTTATTGGCATATGTGCATACTGTGCGTATGCCTCGATATTGCCTTAATTTACAAGCATTATATAAGAACTTTTGTCTAAATTTGATCGAATAGTTTCACAGTATTTGGTTGCTGAGTTGATTTGAGACATTAAAGAGGAAGTATGAATTTGTAAAATCTCAGCGAAAGAATTCAAAATAGATAGATAGATATTGATTGATTAATTAATTTGATTATAAAATGTGTTTACAAACTCAGTATTGTTTTTTTTTTCTCAATTCATTAGTAACTAAGATATAAATGAGAAATTTGATCAAAACAACTAATTAGATTAATTCATATCATTTTAAAACTTAATTTTGTAGTAAGGTTTTGTCAGAAATTACTATGAATAACCAGATAATTCAATTGTGAGATTATTATCCAACATTCTTTGATTTATGAATAAATAGTACATACACAGTGTTCGTGTTTTTGGATGTCAGATAATGAAATAGTGTCATTATTATTGTACATAAGCTCGCCTAAATAGATTATAGATACAAAATTTGGTTTCCTATTTCAAGACCCTACAATATCTACAAATGGGGGGACGGAAGACATTAAAGATAATTTTTCCTAATGTAAAACTTAAAATCTATATACGATTAAATTTAAGCAACCAAGTAAAAGTGGATAATAAATAAACTTTCTAATGACATAAGTTTAAGTGAACGAAATAAACGTAAATATGTTTGTCGAAATTTCATGAGAGAATCAACAAATGGTGTTGTTAGTGACATACAATGTTATGTATGATGTCGTGAAATCGAGTGAAATATATGCATCATCTCATTGTACACAAACTGATTAATAGTTTCTGTTTTGTTGGCATATTTTTACACTGATCTAGCCACGTCACCACTCACAGACAGTTCTCCTACAGTGGATAAATCAAAGATGGATACAAGTAAGTTTATAAAATGAATTTCTCGGTGCCTTTGAATCATTATGCACATGTTGGTTGGCTGAATTGCATATGCTTTTATGACAGATTTGCGTTAAATTCCACACATACTTCTATAATTTTTTGCTGTGATTTTACTTTTTGTGACCAAAATATCATCATAATTTTGTTACATTTATGCTTTTTTCACAAATTTTACACTATTTATTATATTTCACTTGTTGAAATCATGAGTCAATTGAAGCTAGACCACCATGGAAAACCTGGAAGCACTGGACGTCCCAGCATGGGACTCCTCAGCAGTGCGCATCCACGATCCCGCACACCGAGAGATTCGAACCCAGGACCTATCAGTCTCGCTCCAGGCGCTTAACCAACTAGACCACTGAGCCAGCATTTAACGGTGTTAATGTCTAACTTCAATCAATCCATGGTGGTCTAGCCTCAATTGACTAATGATTTCAACAAGTGAAATTTCTGAAAATCTTCACATAACCCATTCGGATAATATTTATTATATGTATTTTATTTATTACGAATGTTTCTCTTTGCATTGGTCAGGTTTCAATAAGTATGGTAGTTTATTATCATTCTTAAAAACATGAACGTTTTATTAGCTCACTTTGTGAAAGTTATTTGACTATAACTTAAATATAACTAAGTGTTTACTTTCTTTCTGTTTTATTTCATATGAAGACAATATGTTTATCAATAATAATTGCACAGGTATTATCACAGATAATGAAGTTAACACCAACTGTGATAATTTTGAAGAGTCTGTTTGCCACAAACAAATATCAAATGACTTCCATAAAGACCATTTATTACAATCAGATGATTTTATTATAGATATTTGTGAGTTTAATTAGTAACTTTTCATTAATTACTTCACATTTAAGCATGATTTTGGTCAAGATTTTTAATGTCTGTAAACTTTTAACTTATTTTGATTGTATACAAAATTATTGACTGAAATCATAAGAAAAATAATCAATTTTTTAACACGTACCTAATTATCAGTTTTACAGCGTAAAACAGTGGTTTATTCAGTGCCGATTACATTCATTCTAATTAAGAAAGGCAACGGCCTCATAACTTCCGAAGAATCTCGTCTTTCGCTAGGATCCTTCATAGTTCTTATGAATGAAGATCCTTCAAATCCTAAGATAGAGTCTCAATGGTCCAAATTATTTTTTCTGACTAGCATTTTTTAGCAATGTTGTTTACTATGAGCTAGTGTTGCTAACCCTATGACCAACCCTTCTCCTTTTACCCGGTCTTTGGACCAGCAGTAATACTGAAAGAGCTACAAGCGGAGTTTATTTTCATCTAGTAGATAATATATCTAACATTTTGATTCATTAATCAGTATTAAAACATTGAAAATCAGGTCTGACTAACTTGCTACTGTCAAGTTAGTTATTTAGTGAATCGATTTTATACCTAACAGAACTGATCGTGTAGAATGTGATTAAGGTGTGTTTAGTATAAATATGAGCTATCCGTAAACATTAGCTGAACTACTCGTTTAACCGATTTTTATTTATGTCATGCACATTTTCGAAGTCTTTATTGCTTCCTATGACTGAGCATTAATGTTAAGCAATAATATTCAGAGTAAAGCATTTCCTAAGAGTTATATATTTGTGTTGTATCAAGTCAATCTTTTCAAACTTCCACGGAAAAATTATATCCAAACTTGAATACAGATCATTTTAATAATCTACTATATGTCTTTTAAGACTTGTATTCAATTCAGTAAATAGTCTCAAAACCGCCATTATTTTCTTACTAAACGATCTTTATCAAGCACAAACTACTTTACATGGATAATGTGGTGCAAACCTACTCAAGTACATCATAATTTTAATGTGAAAATTCTAACTAACAGTTATTTTACATAGACTTTATCCATGTATGTCAAAGTAGAGCATTATATTTGTATTTTAATATACGAAGTAGGCGAGACTATGATTCATGGACGAACCAATCACATATAAGGTAACACGTTTTGGAATTTGACGCGAATTTCATTCACTCGTTTTGTTAGATATCATCTTGATATTATAACTGATGTCATTTCGTGATGGAAACATTAAATCTTATTCTCAACCATAATGTTCAACTGTAAATTCTAATCCTCATTCCTCACACTAATCTATGATCCTCATTTAACCGTAGTAAGTAAGTGGTCATTCCAAGGTCATTTTAGCGTTGCTCAAACGACGTCCATATATTATAGTCTCACTACAAAATAAAATCACACTAGTAGTTAAATCAAAATTTTCTAAATTTATCAAACAATCTAATTATCGTCAAACGTTTGTGTTATTCTGTCAGGCAACATCACGAATTACTCGAAGTTAGACACTAACACCGAAGGATGCCGGCTCAGTGACCAGAAGATTAGGCATTCGTGATTTCAATCAGATTTATTCTATTATAAACGTGTAATAAATAAACAATGATTTTGAAGTTTTTCAAAATAGTGCACTAATTTATTAATTTATTTCGTTTTAAGTGAGGAATACAATGAATGTAAATGAATCACATCTTACGGCTGCTATTAATTACTACCGATCTTGTATCACAAACTCTAAGGAGGAAACATCGTCAAGAAAAGAGAAAATTGTTCAATTAATCTCATCTCTTTTCAACGGATGGTCATCGCCACTGTATTCTGATAAGATCTCCTTCAATATTAGCAACAATATACCTGATAATAAATTGTTCAATCTTACCAATTTAATTTTACCACTGATATTTCAAAATGGAAAAACAACTATATTTTCTCTAAATGTAGTTCAAAGTAGAAACAAAAGTATAAATCCATATATTTATGTGAGTTATTGGACAAAACAACTTTTGTTTATTGACACATAATTCTAAATTCTAAACGTTTAGTTTTCATCATTTCCATCTAGCTTACAAACCAGTGAATTATCAGAACTCTAAACCTAGAATCGTTTCATAGTACAATAAAGTGATGTTTATAATAATCTTTTTATTAGACTTCGTAGACCTTCGTACAATTAATTTTAAATTAAACACTGTTATTAGTTAGGCACTATATCAGTACGACATTATTCTCTCGTTAACGTATACTCTAACATGTTCACAAAATTCGCATAAATATTAGGGTAACTGAATGTATGTATGATTCTTTGAACGTATTCAGTTCATAGTTACATCAGTAGTAAGTGAAAGCCTCATATTACGTAATACGCCATACATTTTATGTATTGGGGCAATTTTGAGCTTAAATTCATAAATAATTTTGTCAATTATGAATAACAGATTCACTTATAGTTTATTTACTATCTGTATCACTTCATTCCATTTAGGTTGTCAATCTAAGCTAAAAAAAACTGTGCACACTCTAAATGTGAAAACGAACTTCACTGTTTCCTGTACCAATAATTTTGTCCTAGAACTACTTATTTTCTATAATCCATTTAGCCAAAGCATGAAATCCATGTACTGATAGTCAAAAACTCAGTGTTCCTATCTTGAAAAATAACATTTAGCATCCTATAAATCAACCTTCTTAATTCAACAAAATACTTCGTAAACAATAATCAAAACTCTCAATAGACAGCCAATGTTAACGTAAACGCTTTCCGAAAGAATGAATGCCGATTAGTAACTCTAACATACAAATGTACAATATTTCATTTGAATTCTATTAAACAATACAAATAACTTTATCTTCATTTCAGATTTCTTCAGGTCCACTTAATGTATTTACCAGTAGTGTTTCAAACACAGTAAGATAAAGGAATAAGAATCTATTTAATTATATTTTAATTGATAATAGAATTTCATTGACAGTTTATTTCTGATTTATTGTAATCTGTAACACGAAACATCATGTTAAGTTAATTTTATTGGTCGAATGTATCAATAAAGTTGTGAATAATGGTGGATCCAGAGTTTAAAACAGTTTAGACTTACTTTTTTTATCTCAATCATATCGAACAGTATTCTCGATGAGACTATAATTTATAGACAACGTTTGAGCAACGCTAAAATGACCTTGGGATGACCACTTACTTACTACGGTTAAATGAGGATCATAGATTAGTGTGAGGAATAAGGATTAGAATTTACAGTTGAACATTATGGTTGAGAATAAGATTTAATGTTTCCATTACGAAATGACATCAGTTATAGTGCCAAGATAATATCTAACAAAACGAGTGAATGAAATTCGCATCAAATTCCAAAACCTGTTACCATATATGTGATTGGTTTGTCCATAAATCATAGTCTCGCCGTATTCTCAAGCACAATAGAAATAAAAAATACCACATCAGCTTACAAATATCACTGATTTCTTACTTGTTTTCTTGTATCTTAATCTAAACAATGTGAAATTTTTGACCAAATATAAGTAAAAGCAAATGTCATAATAACAAAATGACAAATTCAGAAGAAAATTCGTCTGCGTAGATAGTGTGATGATGGATTACTTTTTATTAATTGTTGCAAATTAACCAAAACATTATAAGCAGTTAGTATCATTGTCAATTTGGTAGATCTTTGCCACCATCAACTCGGATACAGTACGTAATCAACCACTCATAGCACACTTCATCATATGTGTATTACAAACGACTTAAATGAAAGAACATACGCACTTGATTGTCGATTAGAAATTCTCTGGAATTCTCAATCATCACATTAACATTAAAATCTTCTATACAGGAATCCTACAAGGCTCATTAAGTCAGTTAAAATCATTTGTTACATTGATTAATCGTGGTTCATTTACTTCCACACTGTTCCAGTGAATAAAGTACATGTTTATTGACTAAAAGAGTCTACATTGACAACGTTAATTAGGGTAAAACTTCCAAAAAAACTGCATGTAATTGAAAATTTATTTATTTACATCAATAACCTGTAATATATTTCATGTGTAATACCTGAATCACTAATAATAACACATGTGTTGGGACAACAATGTATTTCAGTAACCATCTATATATACACATATACAGATTGTTGAAGATTAGAAAACGTGTCATATTATATTCTATAAAAGTGCATCGTTTAAATACATATTAAAGTAAATAAAAATGTAGTCTATCTTCCCTCAAGGTTGAAAAATTGCATAAAGATGTGATCGATATTCTATCCCAAGAATTGTGCAGCCACGAGCCCACATGTGAGTCGAACCCAGGACCTTCGCGAACAATCATCATGTGCTCCCTAATGACTAACTACAAGATGGATTTCCTGAAGTCCCAGTAAGAAGCCGTGACCAATGGAGTCCAATTCATGTAGCGTATAGACAGGCATCCACCTCAGACAATGGATGAAGGGTTAAGCAAGATCATGAATGGATTGAAGTTAGACATTAATACTGTTGGATGCCGGTCGGCTCAGTGATCTAGAGGTTAAGCGTTCACGTGTGAAACCGAAGGTCTTGAGTCCGGACTCTGTTGGTGCAGGATCGTGGATGCATACGGTTGAGGAGTCCTATATTAAAACGAAATGGCAGTCCAGTACTTTCGGGTTTTCAACGGTGTTCTAGCGCAAATCGACTCATGAATTCGAATAAAAAAATTACTACAATCTCCACAAACTCCCATTTTGAAACAATTCTATCCCAAGGTTAGACATGTTAGTTTCAAATAAACTGAGTATCGGATAAGAAGTCAATAATAAAAATTTTTTTCTTATATCCCAATGAATAGTATTTTGTTTATCACTATCATACTTATCCTCATTTCTGATTCATATGTACTTATGATATGATAAAATCGGGAACTTGTGTACTTAACCTTTTCCATAACTAATAACTAGTTGGTTAACAATGGAGAAGGAACAGAAGAACAGATTTTCAAGTTACTAGAGAATTTTGAAATGGGGGAAAATAAGGAAGAATTGGCAAAAGGTGTTTTCAATTTGTATTCAGACATTAAAAATGTAAGTAAAATTATCACAACCACTTTGCAATTATTCAAAACTTTATTGTGATGCACATTTTAGCATATCCCAATACTTTGGTTAATAAGATACTTAAATTCCAGGTATTGAGAAACGCTTATGGAAAACTGTACCATCTAATGAAATTTCAACCGTCGAATAGTTTAAGCAATTGTTACTGAGATGCATTTCTTACTTACCTACTTGTTTACTTACTTACTTACTTAATTACTTACTTACTTACGCCTGTTACTCCTCATGGAGGAGCATAGGCCACCAACCAGCATTGTGCATCCAACTCTGTCCTGGTTAATCCTCCCCAGTTGCTTCCACTTGCTATTCATTCTCTTGATGTCTGCCTCCAATTCTCGACTCAGTGTGTTCTTTGGTCTTCCTCTTTACTATTTCCCTTCAGGATTCCGAGTGAGCGCTTGCTGCCTAATGTGGTTTGCTGATTTTTGCAATCTATGCGCTATCCACCTCTAGTGTCTTTTCCCAGTCTCCTCTTCAAATGGAAGCTGATTTGTTCTCTCATAGTAGGCCGTTGATGATGATATCCGACTAACAGACATTGAAAATCTTGAGTAGGTAATTGTTTATATATACTTCTACCATTTTGATAATGGTTGTAGTAGTTATTCCAGTTTTAACTCCGTACAGCAGAACTGTCTTGACAATCGTACTGAAGATTCTGACTTTGGAGTTGGCTGAAATTTGTTTTGATTTCCATATGTTATTCAGTTGTGAGAATGATGCCTTTGCTTTGCCAATCCGCACCTTTACATATACATCATCTTCCTCCATGTTTGTCGGTGATCCTGCCCATATAAGTTAATGCCTATTGATCTCGAAATAGGGCCTCTACTGGATCTTCCATCTGATTCAGCAACACTTTGTTGAAAACTTTTCCTGGCACTGACAGCAGTGTAATGTCTCAGTAGTCCCAACACTTGTTCAGATCTCCTTTAATTCATATCATGAAGTGTCCTTCTCTCCAATCTTCATGAATAGACAGTGGAACATCTCTGCAATTACCTCTCTGTCTGACTTCAGTGCTTCAGCTGCTATGCTATCAGATTCCACTGCCTCCCCACTCTTGACTTGGTTTATGGCCATTCTGATCTCTTTGGTCGTTGGTGGAGTGAAATCTATAGGAATGTCCGTGAGTATTGCATCGATGTCTTATGGGTTCGATGATGTTTGTCTATTCAACAGTCCTTCTCAGTGCTCAACCTACCTGTTCCTCTGTTTTTGAATCTCAATGACTGGCTTGCCTACTTTGTTCTTGACTGGTCGCTCTGGTTTGCAATATTTCCTTCTCTTGAAACTTCATTCGCTGTTATTTCCAGATATTTTACATATTGCGGCATGTCCGATCTAATGCTCTTCATCGAACTCCCGTTTGATTCTGTATATTTTGTTTGTGCCTTGACTTACTCTGTTCTTGTTCAGCTATTGACCTTCCTGTCTTGAACCCTGTTCAAGGTCTTGGTAGAGATCCATTCCTTATGATGATGTTTTTTACGGTTATTGACAAGTTGAAGTTAGTACTCCTTTGATCCCTTTCCAGTTGTTCTCCATAGTAATTTCCTCTTCTTTGAGTTGATCTTGTAGGGCTTGGAACCTGTCGCTGAGAGCTATCTTGAATTCATTGAGTTCATCAGGGTCTCGAAGAAAGGCTGTATTGAACCTTTTTAATGCTAGTCCCATAGCTGTCCAGTGCTTTTTAGTTCCAATTTCATCTTGGCCACTACCAGGTGGTGATATGAAGCTAAGTTAGCTCCTCTTCTAGTTCTCATGTCTTTTATTGTCCTACTGAATTTTTCAGTGATTCGAATATGATCAATCTGTTTCTTCGTCAACTGATGCGGTGATACCCATGTAGCTTTGTGTATGTGTCTGTGGGGGAATATAATGCCATCTATAAGCATCTTGTATTCACATAAATTTGCGAATCTATCACTATTTTCGTTTGTTTCTCCCAGTCTATGTCGTTCCATGATATTTTCATACCCGGTGTTGTTTATTCCGACTTTGGAGTTTGGGTCATTTATCAGAATGGTCAAGTCGTTTCCTAGGCACTTCTCTACGATCAACTTCATCCTCTCATAGAACTGATCTTTATCGCCGTCGTTGCTATCATTGATGGGTGCATAACATCGGATAACATTCACTGTAATTCCCTCTTTCTTTGTTTCGAAGAATGCTTTGATGATTATAGATCTATGAGGTTCTTATCCTATAAGTGCTTTCGTGCCTCTTTGGAAAGAACCAGAGCAACTCCCTCTGTGTGCAGAGCATTTCCTTCTTTGTGACCAGAGTACAGTAGCATCTCTCCTGAATCTATCTTTTTCTGTCTAGCTTGGGTCCTGTAGATTTACTTATTGCTAGTTAAGTTTGAAGCGTATTAGTTAATTTTAAAATATATAAACACTTTCGGAGTAAAAACTTATGTGATTATACTTATTTTTTAACGTATAGATATCGAGTTGACTGATTGAATTATCTTTCAAGATTTTTACTTAAAAACCAAACCTGTTTTCTGAAATTAAGTTGATAGTTATAAGCAAACTTGGTCTTTTGAACGTTACAATAGTAGCATTATTTACTTTAAAAGGTAATGTCTGAATGATAACAGTGACAAAATAATAATAATGGGGATGTAACGATTTATCTCCTTTTCCTGACAGACGCTGACCTACTGAATAAGATTTCACCAATAAAATTAAACATATTACGCCATATTATTAAAGGTTTCACAATTTCATGATTACTAATGACAATATACCGTAGTTTGGCTACAAAACTTAAAAATCTATCATCAAACTGATGAGTATCACTGAATAATTGAAGTTGAATTAAAATAGCTTAATATAAACGATCATCGAATTAAACTGATTATACATAATTTACATGTTAAACGGAATGCATTAAGCCGTAATACCTGGTTAGTCAAATGTATACACTTTCTTGCTGATGATAGAACATGTTGTTTGACGTTTGAAAAAATAACTGAAAATAAACTGAAATCGTTTTATCCCTAATGATGTCTAAATTTAGATATATCTATGTAAATAATCAGTAGTTGTAATATGACAAAATATTAGGTTGCTAGCATATTCACTATATGATATGACAGGATGAAAAGGCAAATATATTTTTAACCCAATATGTTTAGCATGATGTGGAGCATGCGATCTTGTTATCTTCTCATAAATGTAACTTCTTTCTAAATAGTAATCAAAATTGCTGTTCAATCATTATATAAATCAGTTGGCTTTTGACTATGATTGTCATGTTTTTTGGGGTGAATAGATCTTCACTCTCACCAGTCTTCCATGTTTTTACTTCGCGTCGTGGGTATTGTAGTGTTTACTCGCTTTTACCTACAAGTAATAGGCAATGCGAATATTAAACTAATTCTCACTAAAATCATAAAAAGCAAATTAATAAATTAGATACAGAAAATTTAATTGACTATAGATTACCGATTGGGGGGATCGGTTTAGACGAAGTACAAATCAATATTTATTCCAATTTAGTTTCAAAATTCTCAGCCATACTCCTTCACTATCGTGGATTTGCCTTTATTATTATACATCAAATAATTTATTGTGGTTATCACGTGATATTGTTTTTGTTGCAGGCAATCCCATTGCAGAATATCGATAAAGAAGTCCCATTTGAAAATCTGAGCCAAATCTGTTCCGTTGTAAGTTGAGAATTAAATCGCTTTTAAAGTAGTATTTTCATGCAAAGAACTTTTCCGATGTAAGCCTGGTTATCCAATTATGTGAATACTTGCTGTAGACATATTACTGATACATTAATCATTAGATAGTTGATCTTCTTATATTCCCTATCTTATAAACCTACTACTGTGGTGCGTGCTACTTTTATTGATATAAGTAGTATATGACGCGAGTCAGTAATGTCTGGCAGCAGAAGATGGGGGAAGATTAAGAAAGGAAGAGCGGGAATAGAGAGAAATCAGTATGGAAATGCAAGAACAATGAGGTTCAAGACAATTATTGAACATTTTGCAAATTAAGTATTATAGTATGGATTTTCTATTTTACCAAGTAACTCTGTAATTTTGTGCTTAATACATTCGATCTTCCCCACCCGTGTTCTGTTCAATACACTACTACTCATGTCTGTTATCCTTCGTGGAGGAGTATAGGCCACCCATTAGCATTCTCCATTTTATAAAACTAAGCAGGAAATTCATCCGTTCACTAACTTACTGTTAAAGTTAATTGCAATCAGTTTTACTATGACCTTTACTGTTACCGATCTACAATCATTATTATTACCTATCATATCTTATCATTATTTCAATTTTCCTAGTACAACAATTTTACATAATTCTTATCGGTTATCATAACATGTGAAATTGTATGTATAGTGTGGTGTAATACATTTAGTTATAAATTATGGAACATGAGACCTCTGTTACAGAAGTTTACACTCGAATAATAAAGAATAATTTCATTATTATTTAATTCTAACTCAATGTTTCCTACCATAACAAGAAAGTTCTGTAAAGTTTTATCCAACTATTCCATAATCAAATCATGTTTTATTAAGAATAAACTACTTATAACAGTGTCAAATATAGGTGATCGAAATATCTCTACTTTTAAAAGACATAAAATCTTCATTATAGACATTATTCAGATCTGAAACAGTTTGAGAGTTGAGTTGACCAAAAAGAAATATTCAAACCATATACTTCATACTTAAAAAAGATCAGAATAAATGCATACTCAGTAACCAGAAAGAAATACTTTATGACTAAGAAAGGCAAACGCAATTTATTGTTCTCATCACGTTTTTCTGTTACAGTTAGAAATCATGAAACTAACACTTGAACTTTTTCAATCATATATTTCTCAATAATACACCATTACAAGTTAAATAAGAAGCACAATAATAATTGTTTATCAATCACAACTACCAAGCTAATGAATGATTAGATTATTGTAAAAAATAACTCGCCAGTTTGACTGAAGTCAACACCTTTCAAAATTACTATGATTAAAAATCATAAGGCTCAAACTCCAAACAGAATGATCGTTTAGTGAAAATGCTGTCAACAAGAATAGTACAGTATTATTTAAGTTTATTGTAGATAATAAAATACATGATAATCACTGGTCAGAATTAGCTGAGTGACACTGATCATGTGTTGAAAATCCATTTTGTAACATAACCCATTTGTTGTCTTTGTAAATATATTTCAAATTATTATTTATTTTGATCAGATCGATTGGAATTTTTTATTTGAAAGCGTATTCCATGAAATCAAGTATGAATCATACAAGAATATGAAAATTATCGTCTATCATCCAGACTCCTTGAAGAATGTTTGTGATATACACAGGTCGGCTATGAATACAACAAGCAGTAAAAGGTATTTTTTCTCAAAACTGAATGTTATGCTTCCAGTAACGAGTTGTTGCTATAAAAACTTGTCAAATCGCGTCTTTATTTTGAGTAACGAACATGATATTCAAAAGCATTTGTCATGAATGTAAAACAACTGAGTTCTACAATATATTTCTATTTGGTCTAACAACGATAGTGTGGTGGTTGTATATACTGAATTGTAGACTGATTCTTTCGAAAGTATAAAATCGCGGTGCTGATTTGTCACAAAAGCACAACAAAATAATTGTACAATCCTAATCAATCGCGATCACTTTTTCAAATGGTATTCCTTATTACTGAAAACTATATTCAAGCAACACAGAACTTGGCTAGTTAGCTTTTTAAATTTAGATAAACTTAGGAATCAATCCATGTTGAAACTAGTGAATTTCTTCATTTTCTTAATCAGCCGGCAGTATATATATATATATATATATATATATATATATATATATATAATGTGTATTTGTTATAGACTTTTGTGTACAAATGAGAAGAATCAAGTTTTATTAGAGCAAATGTCATGATTAGCTGGACAAGGTTTTCATTCCACTTCAATGATTATGAATTGAAAATATATTTAACAGTTCAATTCATGAGTCGATTTAAGCTAGATCACCATGGGAAACCTGGAAGAACTGGACAGCCGTTTCGTTCTGCATTAAGGGGACTCGAACCCAAGACCTTTGGTGTCGCGCGCAAACGCTTAACCCCTAGACTACTGAGCCGGCCGGCATCCAACTGTGTTAATCTCTAACTTCAACCAACACAAGATATAGCGCGATCGTCCATAATTTTCTTCAATGAGTAACTGCATCATAACAGACACAGTTGAACTTCACTGGTCACGACTTCTCACTAAGACGCCAGGGAATATATCTTGAAGAAGTCCCATGCTAGGACAAAACGACCGCCCAGTGTTCCAAAGTTTTCCATGGTGGTCTAGCTTAAATCGACTTATGAATTCAAATATTAAATTAATACAATCTTCACAAACTCTCATCCTGAAAATATATTACTATCTAAATGAAAAGTTTGCTCACTATTCAAAACATGCTTTAAACACTTGTCAGGATGAAAAGAATTGTGTCGAAAGAATGAGTATTTAGTAGATGGACTAGTTGAAATTTCCTTGATCAGTAGTTGTATACAAATTAACAGAAATGGTAAAAAAAAGGTTAAATAACTCATTTCTTAGCAAATCATAACCCAGATACTCAGAAATGACAGTGTTTAGTATACAATGTTAAATAAGTCAAAATTAAACATTAAATTAATAGGAAAATAAGCAAGACTAAAAGTTAGATTAATAATAGAATAAACAAATTCAAGTAAGTGAATACAATTCATGGAGAACAAAACACATGAATAACAGTTATTCTGTCTATTCTACCCGATCCCCAAGTAATCAATTTAAATATATACACTTTTCAATTTATTGTACGTTTACGAACTTGTACTGTAGTGAGTGAGAAAATAGGCAGGGACAATCAAATATATTTTAATATGACATTACAGAATATCTTGGTAAAATCTGTAAACCATACAATAAATAATTCATGTGCAAAACGTCAACCAATTGTCTCAGAAATGATTGGTCCTTTTGTAAATGTCAATCAATCGCCTCAGACTTAACTGTTCCTTCATTTTGTTTTCGTTCTTTTCTCTTCAATCTTCTTAACCTTCTACCGCCAGACATTTCACTTTCAATTGGTGATACATATTACTTATTACACACTACAGTACTATTCTAAATTTAAAATAAAATTCTTTTGAATTATTATCAGATCATATATAATCATGATTTTATTTAGATTATTTAACAATCAAATATCCGTTTATTGTTTGATTATATTTTTTTCTAGAATTCTACATACTATGATAGTGATAAATTTCTTATACAACATGAGAAGTACCTTAAATCAATATTTCAAAGAGTTTTATTTCTTTGATAACCGTAAGTAACATTGTCACCAACAGCAATATCATTGATTTTTGATTTTGTCCAAGTTGACTGGAATATCTTCAATGCAAGTTTTAAAACAAAAAACTCTACGGCGAATATAAACATTAAAATATATTTGGTTAAACTGTAGATTTAAAAAAATAATAGAGAGAACTGATCAATAGACAAAACAAATATTACTAATTCATGCTAAAGGCACGGTTGATCAATCCTCACCAGGTTGACTAACGTACATAAATTTAAATAATACTGAGATAAGAATCATTGTGTAGGATTACCGCCAAAAAAGTTCCCTTAGTTTTTTTTCTTTTTGATTAAGGGCAGCATAATAATTATGTTACTCTCCAAATTTTTTTCATTTATTTACATCACAAAATACTGATGGATATCAGCAAAATTATTAGAAAAAACGCCAACAAGTTGTATTGATGAGGTGAAAGAAAATTTCCCATGGACAATAGAACGACATCACGAATATTCTACTATAAGTGAAAGTAAAAAAAACGAGGCAAGTTTAAAACTCGGTAAAATATCATTCAATTTTGTGGTCACAATAAAACATTACGTTAAGTAGTACAATCTTAAAATCTTACATATAATCGAAATCAGCTTGTAACGAAAATTTGATTTAATTGATAAATATTACGAGACTAACTCATTGATTCATCCCACTATATAATGCTATGTTTGAAGAGATAATGAGATCACCTAAAACCGACGAAAGGAACGAAGAATCAACGACACAACGACAAGACAAGCTAAATCATTCAGATACATCCAAGCCCTGCTAACTAGAACGAGAAGACCCGGTTCAGATGAAGGGAAGGTATATTTCACAAGAACCCAGAAGCACGAACAACAACAAGCACTCAACTCACGCGTATGTATATAGCATAAAAATGTCCTTGAGAAACGTCACAAAAAAGCATATTAAAAGAAGGGACGAACCAATGACATTTAGGGTCCCCTCAAGTAGGAAATACAATCTGAAGGTGAAAATAGGCACTTTTGGCGCGAAAACGAGAAATTCAGATTTCCAAAATAAAATCACGAAAATATGACGTTTATCAAGTGATTGCTGGGGATATATATATATATAACATCTGAACAATTATCCATAATTTCCATCGTTGATGTAGTTATTTTGTTTATAATCAGTGTATTTGTTTACAATGTATAGGTACTTAAAATATTTGATGAATTAAAGATCACTGTGATTCAATTATTATCATCGAGTTCATGGTTCAATGAAAACAAAAAAGGCACTATTGATCAGGTTTGTTCAATTACAATCGATTGCATTATTAATAATCCATTATATTGTTCAGGTTAAAAATATTAGTTTATCGATAATTTCATCGGAATCATTGAATGTGAAAAAGAGAGAGAGCGAACATTTTATATTCAATGTGAGTTTTAAAACCAATGTATTCCCATTGATTATTATTATTATTTTCTAATTAAAGGTGAACAAGATTCGGTGTCTAAATTATTTACCAAAAGTGTGTAAAGAAACTTTCTGTGTACATCCAATTATCTCATGATTTTATTTATGTTACTGAGATGCTAAGGAAGATTTGTAGCTCAGAGGGATATTTTCTGTGGAGTTTTGTTTTCTGAGCTGGATAGTTTAGTCGTGGAGCTTTCATTGTTCCTCTGAACAACCTCATCAGCACAAACTTCAGGTAGAAGTGAAGTGTTTGAATTTCTCCATATATGACCCATAGCTTGTCCTGTCAACCTCGATCTTGATTGCTTATTGTTGACTTTTAACCTGTCTTTGTCTACTTCTTTATTTTGATTTTATCTCCCATTGAGTTGATTCTCAGTCCTATATTTGTCCATGATCTTTCTGAATGAATGATAGACTGGATCGATTTCAATGTATTTGTTGATTGCTGATTGACCAAAGTCCCAAGCTTCTAAAAATTCTCTGGTGCTGTTGGTATTCCCTCTATCCAAGATCTCAATATTTCTCCGGTCTGATGTGTGTCTACAGTTTTCTACATACATTGATATAAGCGAAAATATATCGTGGTGTTTCGCCGCTGATCGGTGCTCGTGCAGGCGAAGATGAAGAGAGCATCCACTTTTCTGGATATAGTGTTTCCTCAGTTGGAACAATTTATTTTGTAGATGACTTTTGTCTCTTCTTCTTTTGTCATTTTGTCCTTTGGTTTGCATAAGATTGATTGAAGTGACTTCACTGGTTTGCGTGCTACACCTGTTCCAAACGGTTATAATAATGTCTTCGTAATTTTTTTATATATGGTAGAAGGATCCGTTTGTTGGTTTCTGTACTTGATTTCGTTTCTGCTGATGCGTTCAGTTAATATTCTTTGATGCGATTGGTTTGGTAGTTGTTCATTTGAAAGATGGTCTTTAGATATTTTTCTTCATTTTTCCACTCTGCAAGTGTGTTGCAGTGTGTTCTCTCCCTCTTAAATAAAGTTTGTACGCAGTTTATTTGTGAGTTCTTGGAATGTTGCTGCTCTGATTAAGGATTCAATCTGTGTAGATCAGCTTCCGATATACTTGAGTCTTCAGTTTTACTGCGTCGGTCCTAGTGATCAGTACACCCAAGAATGGAAGTTTGTTGTTTGACTTCTGTTTCATTGTGAACTTTATGTAATCGAAGACGTTGTTGATAAAATTGTTGGTGTTTTCCAGCTCGTCCTTTTTGACGATGACGAATGTGTCATCCATATAACAAATCCCCATTTTCGGCTTGACCACTGGTAAATCGATGAGTCCTAGCAAACCTTGATTGAAGCTCCGTGTAATTTTTGAGGTTTGTTTAATCGCCGAGGAGCGAGGATAGAATTTTCTTTCCTAAGCTTTATTCGATTGAGGTGGTTAATGCTGTTACGTTGAAGGATATCATCAATCCGTTGCAATTGACTTGAATCTCTTTAACCTCATCCAAGAATTGCAAGGAAGATTTGATGAAACGATTATAGGAATCTACTAAATATTCTTGAAATTTCTCCTGAAAAATTAGATGTTATGGTTCCGCGGATTGATACAATCGGGCGTAGCGAGATATTTGTTTTGTGTACTTTTCGCCGATCGTAGAACTGAAGTATCACTGACCCATTTCAGACTCCTTCGATCTCATCAACCCAATAACAAACGTCAGTGCATCAAGGAAGAAGATGATATCGTTAGATGTCACTTCTCTATTCACAAATGTCCAGCTCACAGAAACGATTTTCTTCTTATACAATAATATTTTTCATTTTTAATTAAGCTGGTTTGTTTGCAGTACTCAACTAACAGTAAATCTTAATGGTTGAATTTATGAGTCTATCCAATCTAGACCACCATTTGAAACCTGGAAGCATTAGACGGTCGTTTCGCCCTAGTATTGGGCTCCTCATCAGAGCGCATCCATGATCACGCATGCGGTAATCGAACCCAAGACAATTGGTCTGGCGCGCGCGAACGCTTAAACTCTAGTAAATTATTATTAATTTAGTGAAATTCAGCATATAGTTCAGTGACGTTTCCAATTCCATATGAAAACGACAACTTAACTAGTGGATAGCGATTCAGTAGTTAGCTTTAACGACGTTTGATTTAATGAAATAAACCAATCAGATTAGATGCCTGAAAAATATTATTCTTTGTTTTCTATACAAAATTAATGTACTTCAAATACTAATAAGAGTTATCGGTAAACAAATGAAACTAAAATTTGAAAAAAAATAGTAAAGAGAAGAATATCATATTCTTTGCAAATCGATTGACAGACGATTTATGGTGAAAACGTTAAAGGATGTGTTCTAAACAATTATCAAAACCTTAACTTGTATAAATCCCTTAATGAAAAATATTGTCCTAAATTTAAGGTAGATCCTTGAAATGAAAACTGTTTCACAAGTGAAACTTTTAGCCTTCTTATAGATCAATCACTAGAGATTTAATGTTTTATATGGTTTATGTTACTCCATTTGTGTCGCTTTCATACTACTTTATTAGTCAATTTCGTGAATCGCATTTGGATTTTAAGTATTTAATGGAAAATAAATGAAGGGTTTAGGAGAAATTTCATTTGATCTTACCACTGTTTAAGAGTGGAAACCTATTTCTCTGCGTAAGTAATAATTCAATCGAACTATTTCAATGTATCCTACTTGTTCTGAATAGCTGTCAGAACCTTAGGCAAATCAAGTTATACAGTAATAAAACAAGCTAACTTAAATTCAACTACTCTACGTAGTACACTTACGATCTCTGATCTTTACGCAGAACGATCTCTAGATGACTGACAAGTTTATGATTTGCACCATTTTGTGTCATTCCTCCACACTATCTCGTTAGTTGATCCTGACAATATAACGTCAGCTTGAATTTTCGCTGCATAAAATTTCGGAAATCTACCCTTATCATTGCTACTGGCATAAACTAGTCGAATAGATTTCATATGTACTTCTAACTCCTAAAAATTATTGCCAAGCGCTTGACATACTTCGTTCATTAGATATAATTTTAAGGTGATTGTTTATCCAGTGCAGTGCCACAGCGTGTTATAATAAACAAAACCCGTTTACACTTTAAGCAAGAATATCTTCTTGATACGCATCGTTTGTTATGCACTGTAGTTCAGACATCAGTATTTCATAATTACGACTATTAAAAATGCATTTCAGTAGACGATTAGTTGTCATCTGTCTGTTAATTGACTTCGGCATCTGCAGGAATGGAGTTCGTAGTTTCAGACAATTCGACGGAAAAGTTTTTTTATGTTTCCATTTGATTATTCAACTTGAAAACATATAAATGTTTTTAAAAATCCCTGTTTTTGTTTTAGAATAAAATTCTAGAAAATAATTACTTTATGAATGAATATTATTCTCGGAAGACTAAACTCCTCAAATCATTCGGCGCAACTTTGGGTAAATACGATAAGTACGTTGTACTTTTTAAGTATTCATCTTTTATATTTCTGAATACAGAAATAAAATCCAATATATCTTTATAGAACTAATTTTATTTAATATATCGCGATTTGAAACCAATAGTATTCTAAGCAAAAATTAAATAGTTGAATTCGTGAACCAATTAAATCTAGACCACCATGGAAAACGTGGAAGCACTAGACGACCGTTTTATCTTAGTATGAGACTCCTCAGCAGTGCGCATCCGCGATCCCGTATCAAAGGGACTCGAACTCAAGACCCCCCGTATCGCGCGTGAACGCTTTACCTCTAGACCACTGAGCCGACCGGCATTCAACAGTGTTAATGTTTAACTTCAACCAACCCACGAAACTGCGCCACCGTCCACCATTGTCTTCAGTGAGTTACTATCTCACAACAGACCGATAGGTCCTCATTGTATGTAAACTGTAATTAGATTTATTGATGTACGCTTAAAAGGTTAAAAAGACACATAAGCAAAGCAGAAACACTTGTCTATATTTGTTGAACTTAACTTATTGCTGGAAATCTACACGAAGTTGACTCTATCCACCCTTCCCTGTAATAAAATTGTATTCATAAAACAGTGTAGTTTAAAACGTGAATTTTGGCTTAGATTGTTAGAAAAAGAAAAAAATAATCTGGCATCAGTGTTTACTGATGACAGTGATTAAACTCTCCATAGTTTGGATACCCTATTTTAATTGCCTTTATTTTTGTTTTGTTAAGACTGATTACAATTTTAATGAATTCATATTCACTACAAATCGTAGTGTTCATTGTTCGAATCGTTATTCTGTCTTATATTTGTAAATGATCATTGTATTATAATTGGTAATGTAACCTTATTTCTTTTTATAATGGATTAAAATAAAAGTGTAGAAAGTATTTCGAATAAATTTCAGTAGTATAGTTTTCTTCACAGAATTTAATAAATCAATGACGTTTATAGAATATAATGATTTTATCACGTCTTTTTTTAGTTTTACTCCAAATACAAAAATGCTAAATGTTTATTGACTTTAAATTTTCACTAAACAAATTTATATATCAGTATAGGGTTGTGTAGATTATTAATTTATTGATTGAGATCTTGAACAGGACGATGTTAGACCACCGTTGAAAACCTGGAAGCACTGGACGGCCGTTTCGCCCTAGCATGGGACTCCTTAGTAGTGCGTATCCACGACCCCGCTCTCGGGATTCGAACCCGGGGCCTTCAGTCTCGTAGCTCATTGGTCTAGTAGGTTAAGCGTTCGCGCGCACTCAGTGAAATGACCTCTAAGTATCACAGTAGGTCAGTATTGTAGTGTTTATCAACTGATTTGAACTACTTCATTCTATACATCTGATATTTTTGTTCAGAATATGATACACATTTAGATTATGTATATTGTTTTTAAATCTGAGATCTAAATCAATTGAAATATGTTCAACAGTGTATTTTTGATGTCTTTCCAAAGTATACTTTTTCAAGAATGCAACCGACCTCGAATATTTGTATAGAAAGTAGAAGACTCACAGAGCTTTTCTTTCAATTCTTCAAAAATTACTTAACATCAAACCAAAATACATCGCAACATTAACAACTTTTAATTAATGGGTTGATCAAGTGATCAATTAAATTTGATCAGCAATAGGAGTGAATACCAATAATACTGATTATTATCCAAAGATCAGTTAGTGGTGATCATGTGCTCTTATTTTGTCGCTTTCAATCAATTTTGAAGCATCATGTCATTTTGAAAACTGTCTACTAGTTTCATTTCTGGCTTATGCAGTTCAAATCTCAACTATATGGGGCTCTTAAGTAAACCTTTCCAACGGAATGAAATATAAGACAAATATAAGATTATCAATGAATAGTAAACCAAATTAATTTAACGGTACACTTTTCTTTTATTCATTACCTAAGATTTAACCAATTATACGTCTTACGGAATAGATTAATGGTATATTTCATATTTACAAATATATAGACCAGAAGTCTCCAGTTTCACGCCATACATATCTGGATTGAACAAAGACCATAACATTCATATAACTACTGGGTTTCTACATCCACCGTATTTCAATGGATCATATTCTATGTCTGAAAAATATGGGATTATCGGTTGGATTATGGGACGTGAGCTTATATCTGCAGGTGACTTTGATATCATGTCCCTTTTATCTAAATTATAATAATGTTGAAATTCAATGTTCATAATTAATCTCATCAGCTATGTTTTCTATACTACATGAATAAATGAAACAGATAGGTTATTTGCATATCACCGGTTTTCGCTTATTTATGAGTAAGCAATCTGAGTGAAAATAATATGACAACATATCTACCGTTAACGTGCTGATCGATTGGATTTAAGTACTACGAAGAATACATATTATCTATCTTAACTCATACAGTTAAACTACCATCATAGTTGATTAGAAAGAGAATATAAATATATCCACTCCGTTTAATTTACACGCTGATATTAAAAACAATCTTGAATAAATGTGGCAAATGGAGTATGAGTACAATGCATTTGGTTTGATATAATATGATACTTACATTTATACAAATCTACAGAATACTTACTGATTATTTGTGCTCTCCGATAAACCGTATATATATATATATATATATATATATATATATATATATATATATATATATATATATATAATTGTGCAGCATTGAAAAATGAACTCGTTAGTAGGAATTCATTTTGATGAATTCTATAATGATAGCTGGCAGTACTTTAATGTCATTCACACTTTCCGCATGCGCATATAAATCAACTATAACTGTCATGTTATGCATGACTCAAGTTATGAAACGAATTCAGGAGAGAACTACAATTTCTAATATACTGTTTAGTAGTTTTTGAAATTGTAATCTATACACTTAGTCGCAATTCTAATGTTAAAAACAAAACATTTGTTTTATAGTTTCTAGTGACCATCAGACAGACAAACCAGAATCATTTAAATCACAACTATGTTGTCTACAAAATCAAAACAATTCCCGAGTACTTGGAAAAAAAGTAAGTTGTCTTTTAAATGTTCATTATATCGGAGAATAACTACTTCCTTGCATAGCTTTCAGTATTCAAAATGAAAAGTTAACTGTCGAAGTATGAATTTCGATAATTGATGTATTCACAAAAGATATCTGTGTAGCTAATGTGTCTTGTGTAAATAAGATTCAAAGGTATATTACGTTTGTGATCTGTACATCATTTCTGGATGATTTGTTAACCAATGGCTTATTCAGAAAGATTATAAACAACAGATTTGAAAATTTGTATCAACAGCATACCTAACCAACCAAAGTGTGAGATATCATTCGAGAAATAGGTGGATTTAGTTGAAATTTGAAGCGAGGCAAAACACTTTTAGGTTTACCTCACCTAATTTATCAACTGCTGCTCTTACGAATTCTGAAATATTGCTGTCAGCAGCCTCGGAAATTCCAATAATGAGGCGAATTGTAAAGTGACGTGTACATCAAGCTCCAATTTCCAAGGTCCTTTCCAAGCATGATCTAGTCATTTGAAGAAAATAAATGGTATTAGTTAGAACTAGATAAATTGCTATGCGCTCAAATCCTTTTACAAATATTCTTAACATCCTTCACTCCCGATTTTAAAAAAGCCACTTCTGTCAGCTGGTGGTGACGATAAGACTCAACTAAGGGTGAGTAACCACAAATAAGAACAGTTTCAGATGAAGTCATTACATGAAAGCCAGTTCTCATATAACATATATTACCAGCCAATATATTTCAGATAATAAAACTTGAATCATAAAAGGTAGTAACTCAAACATAGTGATATCACAAGAAACATCTGCTACTGGTCACCTTCATCAGTAACATTGTGGAATTTTAATTTAGAGACCAAGTTCCGATGGATTCAATATCCATGTTTAATGTTTATTCAGCTGCATTGTGAGTTGGCTGATCAACTATACTTAAGATTTTAATGATGTTATATTAACTGTACAAAGCTTGAAACTGATAAGTTTTGTTAATTTGAACGCCTTATTCGGTTCCTAAGCTGTTCTGGTAACCCGCAAGCTAGAACTACACAGCGACTTGAACTCGAGAGAAAAGGTGCAAAATAAGCGAAAAGCACTTTACTCCAAAGGTTCATTTTTGTACAGAAAAACACGGGTATTTATAGATGTTAACATTTATTAAATCAACATCAGATTTTGGCCAATCCGCTAAAAGACATATTATGCTACTGACCAATAGTAGCACGCCACGTTGATATTCTAGAAAGCTCCGTCATGCTTTGATTGGTTAGGACTCTATGGCTCCTTTAAGGTCTCTGGAGGCTCCGTTGCAGTTCTCGGAAAGCCGACTCAACAGAAACTTAATCAGACCTTTTTCCACAAAGCGACATTTGTGATGTCATTATAATTCTGTATATCATAAAAATGTGCGTTTCCAGACGAACCATTCTAGGCCATCCACATCGTGACTGAGGTCTACTAAACGTGAAAATTCTAAGTTTGTTGTTTTCACTTCAGATCGAATCCCTGATGAAGTGAAGGTTCTCATCATAAGAATAAATCGTCGTTCTGTTATCATAAGGCTGGTATCCGCAACGGATATGAACATACTGCTAAGAACACTTAAATACTTGGTAAACCACTTAGTCATAGTGTGGATCCAACCATCCATATTCTTTCCATTAACCGCAGTGCTTCAAACTCTTGTAGAAGTCAACGTTCATACATTATACAGTGGGCATCCATGAAATCAAGATATTCCATCCACTTTCGTTAAAGAGCATGAATCGGAGAGTTATGAAAGCCTGATTTTTTATCATATATTGTAGATCAGTGCTTAAGTGAAATAGCATTTTTCTTCGTACTGATAAACTATTAACCGGTTCTTTCGTGGTTGAATACCACAATAGATATTACTATTGTTTAAAAAAACATAAGGACAGTCCTTCGTAAACTGTGTACTAATATGATTATCCGACATGTTGTTGCTGTATGTGAAGCTCATCTACTGTCTTCCATCAAACCAATAAGTTAACAGTTCTTTATTCTTTTCTTTTCTTATAGATGTTACTATATAAGAGTATTATGATGTCTACAGTTATTAACTTTGAACCAGCTTCTTAGCTCATTCGACTACTTTTGCTTAACATTCAGTATTCAAACTGTTTCACATGCAGTATTTAGTTAACGAAATGTCCTCGAAAAGAATATTTAAAAACAAGGATTACTTGAGTAAACAATCGTTTTCGATAACCCATATAGACTTAACAGTTACGAACATTATCTACTGTGTTACACTAGACAGTATAATAGTGTATACGTCTAATATCCATGACTGAATACGTCGTTTCTCAAAACTGATAATAACTATCTTCATGTGAGTTAGAATGGACTAAAAAATTACACATTAAGGTTAGGAGTTTTAATGAATAGATCAAAATCATAGTTGAAAAGTAATTTAAAATAAAATAAGCCATAGTTATTGTGACACTAATTAATACTAGTAATACCTAAGTATGGTGATAACAGCGGTTAGTGTTATTTCTGGTTGTCGCTAATTACTATATCGGAATCGTTTATTACTTACAGTTGTAAAATGAGGAACCACTGCAATTCCCACAACTCAAAGAACATCAAGACTGGTGCTGACTTACAGTCTACCTTAATTAGTTTATTACTTTCCGTAAATATATACGCAATATTACTGCATATTAGAAAAAGTCCTGATGAAGATCCCTTTGAAAATATAATTATCTACTGATATTTCCTGTTCTATTTAAACAATGTAATATTTATTATTTTGACATGATATACATCTTCATTATATTGTTCAGATAACTGAATTATTTCAAGGCGGACTGTTCAACGCATTGTTCACTAGGAAAAATTTTGGTTACCCCAATATATTTACATGTCGTTATTTTAACTTTGATTTGATTGAAAGAATAACTGGTGTAAAAATAAGAAGGATTATAATGAGAAAGGTGTTTTATGGATAACATAGTAATTTAGTAGTTAAATTCATGAGTCAATTGAAGCTAGACCAACATGGAAAACCTGGAAGCACTGGACAGCCCTTTCGTCCTGGTATGGGACTCCTCAGTAGTGCGCAATTGAACGTGATACGACATAGGATTGAAAATTAAATAATTAAACTATTTTATACACATTCGCTATTATTATACTAAATTTATATTCTAGAATTTGAGATCATTGTCAAACGATATTAATGGGCTTATGTTATCCTTTACAGTAAGTAAAAGCAGATAAGTTCATATTTATTAAATCCTGTAATTGTTAAAATTCATACTTTACAAACGTCATCAATATTCACAAGCAATAAATACATTTTAAATACACTGAACTCAGTAGTGGATAACGCGATGGCGTTTGAAGCGAACGGTATTTGGTTCTAGTACCGGAGTGAATATCAACTCTGGGATGCAGGTACATCCAGTTGACGAGTCTTAAATGGGACGGAACGGGCGTCCTGGATTCTACTGCTAGCCACTATCCATCTTTGCTTAAAAGCTTGTAACTTAAGGCCATATCGAGGTAATCCGCACAGGATGAACGTATGCCAACAAGAGACTGATCAATTGCAGTCCTAAATAACAATGGGAAGATACAAGTAAAACAACACCAAGTGAATTTACGCTGGACTCAGTTGAAAAATTATGGATCACATTTTAAATTAATCAATAAGGTAGCTCAGTTAGTAACTGATTAATTTAATATTTTCTCAACTTCGCTTCGATCCAATTCCTTTGAATGTGTAGATTACTTTTGAAAAAAAAACTCCTTTAGAACGATGTGTCCATAGTTTATTAAATGCTGTTGTATAGAACTAGTAATTGTTTTTCATTCTCTATCTTATTTTAATAGAATAAATTCACAAGACAAGTAAATATGATACATTAAGATGACTTCACTTGGTATTCTTTGGCTTGTATCTTCCCATTGAGGTTTAAGACTGTAATTGATCAGTCTGTTATTAGCATATGTGCATACTGTGCGTATGCCTTGATATTACCTTAATTAATATGACTAACTGTAAAAAACAAAACTCAAAGAAAATACTCATTATTTTAAAAGAAATGGCATATTGTTTTTATGAATGAATGAATTTTCAACTGATAGTAT